TCTGGGAATCACGTGGCTAAGTGGGTAAGACGGTGGCTCGCTAGCCTGGAGGTCGGGTGTTCGATCCCTGCATTGGCCGAGAAAGTTCATCCAGATTTTCCGGCGTGGTTCCCCCTTGTCAGTGATGCAGGACGGAGGGCCTGACAAGGACAGCTGTCTAGTCGTTCTGATGGTGTGCACGTAAGAGATCCCTTGGCAGTTGGAATTCGATATAAGAGTAGGCCGTAGTGCCGCTGCCCGGGCAAAATTCCCCTCATAGCACACTGTATGGCGTATGCCCGTCTTCATTAGCTCAGTTTAGGAGCAAAACAGTAGGACGTTAAACCCCATTTCATTTCATTTCCCTTTATTCTGTCTCGTGGTCCCTTTATTTCCGATTGTTTATTGCTTCATTTCCCTACATTTCCGAATCTTTTTCCCCTGTATGTTTGACTGTTTGTCCCTTTATTTCCCTATATTTCCGACTATTTGTCCCTTTATTTTCGACTGATTATCCTGTTATTCTATATTTATAACGTTTATTAAAATACGATATAATAATATTAACTCGGTTCCATGGTGTATTGTTCGTGTTGTAATATACCTTGACAACAACAAGTTGTATAATATTACCTTCGATCACTGGATTAGTTATAACACAACATTAATCAACATATCGCTAACTTTCTAAATGTCACTTTATCCTGGATATTAAAAAAGAATTACTCATGTGAATTCACGTGATAAACTTGCTTTCTCAACAACCCATATATGAATTCATGTGATACACACCATTTCCAAACTGAACTAGAAAATTTATTTCAGAATAAAAAATCAATTTGGATTATGTAGAACAATTTCCTGAATTTAGATTGATGATTTTCTGTGTGTGGAGGGATGGGGTTGTAGATTGCTTTAAACTTACACTGTAACCCGGGTATTATTTAATCTTGTGTATCTAGCACTAATTTCTTTCACATTCATTTAATATCAAATCTTTGTTTAAAAATTAGTAAAAATCATTTAAAAATCACCCAAAATCATCCAATTTGTACTTGTGTCCAGTTTCAAGCTGACCATTGAGTTTTGATAATGAGTGCCCAATTTACAAGTGTTTAATTTCCTGATGACTGTTAAAAAGTAAACAACCCAATTGATTATTGATGTTTTATGATTAATTTTTGAACAGTGGTCAGGAAATTAAATACTTGTAAATAGCTCATTTTAATTAATCAGTTTTAAACTGGACACAAGTACAAATTAGATGATTTTTGGTGATTTTAAACGATACTTTAGAATTTTTAAACAAAGATTTGATATTAAATGAATGTGAAAGAAATTAGTGCTAGATACACAAGATATCATTTTATCTCATGTATCTAGCACTAGATACCCGGGTTACAGTGTTAGTGGCGTGGCTCACAGATCTTGGATACAAAGTAGGGAGCCACAGTGACTCAGTTAGTAAGATGCCCTCTAACTAATCTTGAGGACCCGTTATCGATGTCGTTTGATTTTGACTGTTTGCGTACTTCACTGAACATAAGTTGATTAGAAATTACAATTATTTTTTAAAAATGGATTATAAATCACATTAATACATTAATATGTGCTTTTAGTCCCAATTTCATCTTTGTTATATAATGTTCTATGCGCCATACGACATTCTATTTTTTAAGTCATTTGCATTTTTCCGAAAACATAAAACAAAATTCCACAGCTTATTAACCAACGCTAAAATGTACTCCTGATGATTATTTGACATGTAATTAAGAAAACAAATGTTTAAACATATATTATTCAAGAGCTAAATCTACCTATTGAAGGTCGAAAACAAATGTTAAACATACATTATTCAAGACCTATTGCAGGTCGAAAACAAATGTTAAAGATACATTATACAAGAGCTAAATCTACCTATTGCAGGTCTTTCTTTATCCTTGAAATGTTATCTAAATTATAAATTAGACATTTATTAACATGACAAGACCATAATCAACTCTTGATGCCATTGGATATCTCTGATATTAAGTAGATTAGAACGCTTGAGGCTTAGCTTCGAACAATCAGTAAGGTGGTTGCAATTAATGCACACATCTTGTCAAATCTTCAAAGGCTAATATCTTTGCTCAGAATAAAGTACATAATTTGAATGAAATTTTCGCTATATTTATTTTGCATTAGTGAGTGTAGAACAGTAGGACGTTAATAAACCCTATTTATCAAATCTACACAACACACTGGGGATTTCCTGTATTAGCCCTTTTTAAACCCCAGCTATCGACCTAGACAACACCAAAAGAATTGTCCTTTTTATATCACTGTCTGAGCAAAATTTTTCTCATAGCACACTGTCTTAATTAGCCCAGTCGGGGCAGAAAAGTAGGACGTTAAACTCCATTTTATTTCTAGTTTTATTGATTTGTTTTATTTGTTTTACAGGTATATATTTTTGGTGATCTATTTTTTTGAGATGATGATAAAGGTTATAGCGAGAGGGTTTATTGTAGATAAATATACATATCTACGAGATGCCTGGAATTGGCTGGATTTTATTGTCATTGTGTCTGCGTAAGTATGATTTTAACGTCATTGTGTCCGCGTTAGTATGATTTGATCATCATTGTGTCTGCATAAGTATGATTTTATCATCATTGTGTCTGCGTAAGTATGATTTTATCGTCATTGTGTCTGCGTAAGTATGATTTTATCGTCATTGTGTTCACGTTGTGTCCGTGTTAGTATGATTTGATTGTTATTTGTGTCTGCGTAATTAATTATGATTTTATTATCATTTCCTCTTTTTTTTCCAGAGCTGATTTTAGTATACACAGATTTCAAGCCCCCAAAGATTGTTTACCATTTATCAAAATGATTTTAAAATTATTATTACTTTAAAACCACTGATAATCAAAGATGGCCGCATGGAATAATAGAAACTAATTTAAGACTTACACAAAATTAATAAATATGTTTTATATTTTTCAGATTTACGACTATTTTGATAGAAGAGATCTCTCCTGATACATCCGTGGGTAATGTTCAAGTATTAAGAACGTTCCGGGTCTTACGAGCGTTAAAAACAGTCAACATTGTGCCAGGTAACGTGCATATAGAGTTATTCACATGAAGTATATCCAGTTTCTATATTGAATTTTTGATTTCCTTTGTCAAATGGGGGGCTGGATGGCCGAATGCTCAGTGCGTTGAATCATAAGGTCTGTCATTGAGTCAACTGGGGGTGGTTTCAATTCCCCAGTTGTACGTGACAAGGAGTAGGTTCGCCTTTCCAACCTCCAGTTTCCTCCCACTGCTAAAGACCCCTACACGCAAGCAAATTATTGAAATAAAATTGAACTATATGTTAGTCCCAAAATGACCTAGTTTGTGTCGAGTGGACATTTCACTCCATTTCTCTCTTTTTATTCAATGTATAACAGGGATGATGATGATGATGATGATGATGATGATGATGATGATGATGATGATGATGATGATGATGATGATGTTGTTGTATATTTTCAGGGTTAAAGACGATCGTTAACGCATTACTTCGTGCTTTCAAGATGTTAGTCGATGTATTGATGTTGACTCTCTTCTGTTTAATGGTGTTTGCCTTATTTGGTCTACAAGTCTATCGTGGAGTATTACGACAGAAATGTGTTGCTGTTTTTAACGCTACTGATTCATCAGAGAGTTATGACCTATTCATAAAAAACGAAAGTAAGAAAAATGAAAACTCACTAATCCGGGGTTCAATCCCTGTTATAACCCAGACAAATACATCCACATTGCCCCAGTGCTTCACGTTCCTTAAAAGGTGCCCTGGCTCCTATTTCACAAAGCATGCCCTGGCCCCTGTTTCACAAAGCATGCCCTGGCCACTGTTTCACAAAACATGCTCTGGCCACTGTTTCACAAAGCATGCCCTGGCCCCTGTTTCACAAAGCATGCCCTGGCCCCTATTTCACAAAACATGCCCTGGCCCCTGTTTCACAAGACATTCTCAAACTTAATTTAAGAATTTATTCAACTTTCAAGCATTGTTTATGAGAAATATCTTTGATCCAGAAACACAAAACTTTGCATATAGTTTCTTATTGATGTATTTGAAACCTTAAAACAACAAAAGTTTTATAAAGGGCTATATTTTAGTTAAAATAAGGCGAACAATTTTGAGTAAATTCTAAACTTAAGTTCCCCGTTATTTATCAATCTTGCTTCCCCTTGTCTGTGGTGTCGGACAAAGGGTCAGCAAGAAACAGCTTCTAATCGTATGAATGGTATAAAAAACAGAAGTCATGTTTATACTATTGGCAAGTTATAAGTAGGCCTTAGCTGAGGATACCAAAAGGGATTGAACCCTGTTTTATACCGATATATCACGTAAAGTTTAAACTTTCTTCACATTATTAACAACAGATTAAAAATCACACACCAGTAGCTTTCATTTATTTATATATGAAGAGTCCAGGGGAAGAACAATCTTAGTCACATTTTTGTCTTTTTTTCAACTTTTGGACGAGAATGCTTGACGCGAACAGAACAACGAGTGGGTTTAATTACAACTTCAAAATGATGTGTAATACGAATCATTATTACCAGTACAACAACTGACTTCCCCTTTTCAGCCATATTAAGGTCAAATAAAGGGTACGATGGACATAATTGTCAGAGAGGCCATTTCAGAAGGGCCTTGGTTCGATGTGACTCCGATCGTTTTTGCCTGAAATTGATTGTTCCACAGAAAGCTTATACAATTTGCTACCAGATGGCGCCATTAACTGGGGTTGAAAAAGTGACTTAGATCATTCTTCCCCGGGGCTCTTCATATTTATTGTATATTTCTTGTATAGTTATTGTATGCTTCTTGTATACTTATTGTATATTTGTATATTCTTGTATATTTGTATACTTCTTGTATATTTATTGTTTAATTCTTGTATATTTATTGTTTAATTCTTGTATATTTATTGGATTTTTTGTGTATTTTTAGCGAATTGGTTAAAAGAGGATGATAATCCTGTTATTTGTGGTAATACTACCGGTGCTGGGTGAGGAGATAATATTTTATATTATCATAAATAAGGTCAACCTTTGGTTTTCTCTGGGTCCTCCCAGACCCTTGAAAAGAAAAACACAAGCGAATTATTGAACTAAAAAAATCGAACCATATGCTAGTGGCAAAATGACCTAGTTTCCCCCCCCCCCCCCCCCCGCCTATTCCTCAAGTTGAGAAGAACCTTCACGAGAATTTACAAACTCTGGTTTTTGAAATGAAATGAAATGAAATGGGGTTTAACATCCTACTGTTCTGCTCCGATTGGGCTCAGGGGCGTGCTGGCAGGGAGTTTAGGAGGACGGTGTCCTCCCAGGCCCCCATTAAACAATAAGTCCACCCGTATAAGCGGGGCCCCCCTGAGAGCTCTAATTTTCACACGGAATCCCCTCAAAAAATTGAGAGTGTGCACGCGAAAAATCATACATACACAACGATTAGTAAAATATATTATGCTGATGTGCAAATGTCTGTCACCTTAAGGTGAAATGGTCTTTGATACATGTATTCATGCCTCGATATGTATAAGATGCAATTTATTATTTGGATAGAAATACATTGTATTAGCATTATCTTAAGCAGACCTGTCATGAGTGTCTTGTGTAATACAGTAGTATGTCTTATAGTCAAAATAGCAGCATAAATTTGGAAAATATGATACCTAGATTTCTCCCAGAAGTGCTTGCAAAACGCGTTTCCCGTTGTCAAATTTCAAAATTTTGGTTGGGTTTTGTCTTTTTCTACATACATATATATATTTTTCTCTCTGGGTTATTATTTTACATATTTTTTTGTTTATATTTTTAGGGGCTGTCCCAGTGATTATATCTGTTTACCAGATATTGGTGAAAACCCTAATAACGGTTATACAAATTACGATCATTTTGGTTGGGCTATGCTGAATGCCTTTCAGTTGATTACACTGGATTTCTGGGAAGATAATTATGATAAGGTCAGTCTCATTATCATTGTCGTACAGATTATTTTTTGCGGGGTTTGCTGCATGTTGTCATTGAGTCAACTGACGGGGTTTCGATTCCCCGGTTGTATGTGACAAGGAGTAGGGTTGCCTGTCCAACCTCATGGGTTTTCTCCGGGTCCTCCGGTTTCCACCCACTGCTAAAGACCCCTACGCTATCATTGTCGTACAGATTATTTTGGGAGGATTTGCCGCATATGCTTTAGGTCTGTCATTGAGTTAAGTGATGTGGTTTCAACCCTACATTTGTACATGACAAGGAGTAGGGTCACCTATCCAACCTAATGATTTTTCACTAGGTCCTCCCACTGCTAAAGACCCCTACTTGCCAATTATTAAAATAAAATTGAATCATAAGTTAGTCCCAATATGACCCGACCTTTTTTATTCTTGTCTTTATATATTTTGGAAAACTTTTTGTCATTGCCTGTAGGATAATTTTGATTCTCACAATAAATAAAGGATCATGAAAATATATTGATTTCCATGTAGAAATAAGCCGTGATTTCAATTCATAGTACATTTTACAATAGTCTAGACGAGTATACCTGTATTGTTGGGGGGTGTGTCACTGGCAACAAATAACCTCTGACCTCTTAATCATATGAATATATTAGAATGGTTTATTGTATACTTGAATAATAACCAGAATAAATTATATATCAATTTATATTGTAAATTATTGGCTCACGTTTATTTTTCATTGTAATATAAGTTATTGTTGTTGGTTTCAATATTCCACGTGATACGTCCACATCTAGTACACTATTTAAAGGGGGGGTAATTAAAAAACTATTTTACCTATATCATTAACATAACTGTAACCCAAGTATCATTTAATCTTGTGTATCTAGCACTAATTTCTTTCACATTCGTTTAAAATCAAATCTTTATTTGAAAATTTGTAAAAATCATTTAAAATCATCTAATTTGTACTTGTCTCCAGTTTAAAGCTGATCATTCAGTTTTGATAATGAGTGTCTAATTTACAAGGTGTAGAGTCGCCTGTCCAATATTTGGTGGATTTTTCTGCAGGTCCTCCGATTTTCTCCCACTGCTAAAGGACCCCTACACACAACCACATTATTGATTGAAGTATTAATTAATATTCCACCGCGGTTTGTTATCAAGAATATAAAATGATTTTTGTTTTTATGGATATATTTTAGGTAATAAGAGCAAGTGGTCCGTGGAATGTCGTGTTTTTTGTGTTGGTCGTATTTTTTGGATCGTTTTATCTGATCAATCTGATGTTAGCCGTTGTCGCTCTTTCATACGAGGAAGAAGCAGAGAGTGCAGGAAAGGTAAGCGATCTGATTGGCTGATAGTCTGGAGTCGCGTTAGGAGGGGTTAGTTTCGCTCCTGCCTAGGACAGGTAAGGGATCTAATTGGCTAATAGTCTGGAGCCGAGTTAGCTCAGTGAGTCAGATGCTGACTCTCTAACTAGGAGGTGTTAGTTAGGAGGGGTTAGGTTCGCTCCTGCCCAGGAAACCTTCTCTTGATTTTCCGTATTGGTGCAGGACGGGAGGGTCTGACAAAGAACAGTATGTAGTTGGCTGGATGGGATGAAAAACCATGGTCCCGTGTACACATTGGCGTGCACAAAAAAAGATCCCTTGACAGTGGAATTCGATATAAGAGTAGTCCGCAGTGCCATTGTTTGGTCAAAATTTCCCTCATAGCACACTATTTGGCGTATGTCCGTCTTCATTAGCCCAGGGGGGGTTGGATGCCCAAATGGTTAGCACGCGCGCGCTGTGTCGTACGGTCTGTCATTGAGTCAACCTGCGAGGTTTCGATTCCCCGGTTGTACGTGACAAGGAGTAGGGTCACCTGTCCAACCTTGTGGGTTTTCTCCGGGTCCTCCGTTTACCTCCCACTACCTCCCACAGCGAAAGACCCCTACACGCAAGCGAATTATTGAAATAAAATTGAACCATGTGTTAGTTCCCGAAATGACCTAGTTTGTGTCGAGTGGACGTTAAACCCCATTTCTCTCTCTCTCTCTCTCTCATTAGCCCAGTTCGGAGCAGAACAGTAGGACGTTAAACCACATTTCATTTCATTTCTTTTAACAGGAACGTGAAAGAGAAAGAGCTGGTGAAAGAAAGAAAAAACCCAACCCACTTTATGACGTAGCCATTATATCAGTGGCCAACAAACGTAAACAGAAAAATCGCGATAATAAAGAATCCAAACTAGAACTTGATAAACGGAGAGGCTCTCATTGGCCAAAAATCAGTACCGTAAATCCTAAATTCAGTCCCGTGAATCCAAATAAACCAATGATAAAGAAGCCAAGTAAAGATAGCGGATTCTCAGAAAATATGAAAGGAACTCGAAAAGTCATCCGACATTCTGACAGCCAGGATAAATTAGACTCGGACATGATGAGCATGAGCAGTGGATCCGAAACAAAGGGGAAACCTAAAAACATCTTGCGTAAAATCTTGATCAAACAAGATAGTGCTGGAAACGTAAGTTATCCGTATTTTTTGTACACAATTTTTATGCAGGTGGGAGTGGGGATAAGGAATTTAACGCATCACTGTGAAATCACAAGGTCTGTCATTGAGTCAACTGGTGTGGTTTTGAATCTCCACTTGTATATGACAAGGAGTAGGGTCACCTGTCCAACCTCAGGTTTTTTTCGTTGTCCTCCGGTTTTCTCCCATTGCTAAAGACCCCTATGCTCAAGCAAATTATTGAAATAAAATTGAACCATATGTTAGTCCTGAAATGACCTAGATTGTGTCGAGTCGACGTTAAACCACATTACTCTCTATCTTGTACACATATTAAAAGAAGATGGCCTCTTGAATTCGGTTACAAGTAAATTGTTTAAACAACATTTAAGAACTGAATGAGAGAATAACATGACACAGTTTTCATATAGTAAATGATTTAATCAGATTGGTAAAACATTGGTAGATGATGGAATACAAGTTACTTAACCCTTTGAACCCTGAAAATATTTTGGGTGTGGCACACCCCACCCTGACTTTACAGCAGGAATTTGGAAAAATGACGTCATTTTGATTGGGACTAAATGTTAGGTGTGAATTTGATATTATATGTGTTTAAAATTGTGTGAAATGATGAAACAACGATATTTAATCACAATATTTAATTTCGTCAGAATCTGAATCATATTCACTTTCAAAGTCGCTCTCATTGCCGTAATCCGAACCATAAATATCGTCGTCATTATGGCTCATTATAAAAGCTAGCGCATCCGTTGTATTTAATCGTTTAGAACACATATTATATCGAATAATTTGCTAATATCTAAATGTAAACAATCTAGAAGGAAGTCACTGTTACCAACAGACCCGGAGCAAACGGTAAACTGTATTTTGATTGGCTAAATTATTATTGTTAAGGCCGCGATTCAAACGACACGCCCCAAGCCGCAAAACCGACATTTCGGGTATATGCGATACAACGTCAAACCGGTTTTGCAGCATTTCGGGTTCTAAGAGTTAAAAATATATTTCTGGCGCAGTTTATCGAGGGTGTGCTATCAAGCAAAAAATGCCATTTGCCTATTCCATGGCTTTAGATAAAATTAAACAAAATCCTATCAGCCTAATTAGGGGACAGATCAAATTTAATGACCTCATATCTGACCAATCAGGGGTTAGCATCAATTTAATAACATCAAAACTGACCAATCAGGGGTTAGAATAGTTAAACAGCAGATGAACGCTGCACAATTGGCATGAATTCACCATATTGCATGTTGAAAAGTTAGAATAGCAAGACTTGTCTTGTGAAACTGCCGCATGTCAAAATAATGTAGGTAAATTGTGCACAATATGTTTATTTTCTATTAATCCATGTTTATTATTGTAAGGACAGTTGGATGGTCGAATAGTTAGTGTGTGCGCGTTTTATCATAAGGTCTGTCTTTGAGTCAACTGGCGTGGTTTCGATTCCCCGGTTGTAGGTGACAAGGAGTAGGGTCGCCTGTCCAACCTTGTAGGTTTTCTCTGAGTCCTTACTCAAACTGCTAAAGACCCCTACGCGGAAGCGAATTATTGAAATAAAATTGAACCATGTGTTAGTCCCGAAATGACCTGGTTTGTGTTAAATGGACGTTAAACCCCATTTCTCTCTCCCTCTCTCTTTATTATTGTAAAGGATGTGTTTTTGGAGATCCCTGACTTTGTAACCTGGAGATTACAGATTAGATGCCTGGTGTTGATAGAGAAAATTTCTCAGGATTCCTCGGGATTTTTTCGAAGTTGTTGCATGTTAGCGTGCACGTAAAATAACTCTTGACGGAATTCAACGAAGTGTAGATGGAAACGGTGCTGTCTGTGCAAAATTTCCCGCACAGCAGACGTCTTGATTAGTCAGGTTGTTGTTGTACAAAATGTCCGTTAAAGCCAATCCCTGTCCGAAGTACATGGATAAAATTATCAACTGCCTTAAAATAATTATCGGGATTTTTTTTTATCCATTACAGGGGTTTATGAAAGTAAGTCTTGGTTATCTTGTCACCCGTTATTTTCTCAAGTTTTTTTCACAGTTAAAATTTATTTCATTTTGTAGACATTTTGTTTTTTTATGTACACATATTGGTTCTATATGCATGCTGAAAATGTTGCACTATATATTTTACCTATCGCTCTAGCACCCTTTTTTGTTGATTTATTTTTAACCAGATTTATTTTTGAGTGTAAAAAAAATCAATTGGACACGGCAATTTAAGTGTATTTTTTTTAGTTTTTAAATACGCATTTTTAAATCCCTACATTGTAAACATTACCCCCGCAAAATAATATTTAAATTAAAAATATTTTGTTAAAGGGCCAATCTTGATTATATTTTGGAGAATAAAGCGGCTTAATTTTGTGTTAAAAGTTCTTAAAATCCTCAGCTTTAGTGCCGAGCAACTAACTCAATATATGTGATACGTTTTCAAACAACTTAAACCCGCCAGTCTTTATCTGGAAACGGAGACCGGTGTCACAAGCTGTATTATATATATGGTGTTTGGATAAAACCAGACTTTTCTTTTATTTTATATTAAATATTTTTACGTCAATATTAATCGTGGATGTAATTGCTGTCTGATTTCAGGTATCATCCTCGAGTGTTTTATTGGAGAGAAAATCTACTCTTGGTGAAGGAAGTATGGTGTCGGACTACAGTCAGGATACATCCGGATCCGTTATACTCAGGGGTAAGCTATCCGAGAGGAAGCAGCGTTATGTTTAGCATGAAGCATACTGGGATATTTCTGGAGGCCACAACACGATCCTAGTTGTGTTGAGAGTGACTCGTCCGATATGGAGTGGTCTACTAGTAGATTCCTCAATAAAATATGATTTAAATACCTTTGATCATCGTGGGGTTGAATGGTTAGCATGTACGTGTTGTATCATAAAGTCTGTCATTGAGACAACTTGCATAGTTTCGACCTAGTGGGTTTTCTCCAGGTCTCCAGGTTCCTCCCACTGTTAAAGACTCCTACGCGCAAGCAAATTATTGAAATAAAATTGAACCATATGTTAGTCCCGAAATGATCATGTGACTTGGGGGCTAAGTGAGAGGGACGCAATGATGAGGTTGGTCTGAGTTTTTGCGCCCCTTGAAAGTGGCAAAAAATCATGCGGTTTTCAACATTATAGTCACAATTAAAAGTGTCAAACATATACGGTGGTTCAGATATGCTACAAATCGACTCTAGCATGATCCATACAGCCCAATATTACCCAGTGACACTGGGAGGGACTGCCACCCCACCCCCACCCCCACCCCCGCACACACACACACACACATACAAATATTGTTTTTGGGACCCGGCCAGGATCTTGTTTCTCATGCAAAATCATGGGTCACCACGCCCCTGATGTGATTCGGGTGGTTTGTGGGTGGATCTAAGGAGCCCTGGTTAGTGCAGATTTGGACTGTCCGAGTGCTAAAGGATTATAAGATAAATAAGATGTCAGACGGTCAAAAGATTGCAGACGGTCAAAAGAAATATATGTTTAAATGTTTTTATTTTAGCGGATGAACTCGAAGATCCTGAAGATATGGAGTACCACGGACAAGTCCTCGATAGGAATTGTTTCTGTTGTTCAACATGTTGGCGATGTGGCTATAATCCATGGGTCCGTTTCCAAGGTTACATCTTCCGATTTGTGTCAGACCCTCTCTTCGATCTATTTATAACACTGTGTATTATATTAAACACCGTTCTCATGGCAACCGAACATCACGAGATGTCCACATTAACAGCAGAAGTCATCAGAATCGCCAACTATGTAAGTATTTTCCTCTGTTTGTTATATTGATAAATAACACTCATTAAAAATGGTGTCTTGATCGACAGGGCTCTCAGTTTTTGTCGCGTGAGATTTGCCTGTATAGGCAAGTAGGCCTACTGTTGACCAAGCACAAAAATCATTCATATTTCACTGAAGATTGTGTGTCTTTAATGGAACCTTGTATAAAATCATTTTCTGCTACAATTACCAACTTACCATTTAAAAACCTTGGTGTCTGGTTATTCCAGTCTACGCCGTAGTATTTATAGCACATGCTCAAGAATATGACATGACTTGTGGAATATGACTAGCCTTGTTCTTCAAGTCCCTTGTTACAAATGGCGCTGAAATGCATTATGATACACGATTCGTGTACCAATGGTAAATTGTTTATTTTGTCGTAAAAATATTGAATATCAGAAGCTCATCTTTTCCCGGTAAGATAACAACATTAATGTTGATTTAAATTGACAAATAATTCGTGTTTTCAGTGTCGAAGACTTTGGATGATATTGAGTTAAAGAATTAGCTACTTTAACTCCTTTCATGCACCATGGTTGTACAGTCAGTATGGAATAGCGATATACAAATATTCATATTATTATTATAACGTATAATTGTATTTTCAGGTATTTACTGTGGTATTCACACTAGAAGCAATATTAAAGATAACAGCATTCAGTAAATATTATTTTAAATCTGGATGGAATGTGTTTGATCTGGTGATTGTTATTGCTAGTTTAATAGATCTGGGATTAGAGGACATTGATGGCTTGTCTGTTTTCAGAACATTTAGATTGGTAAGTCGTTTTGTCTTCTCTCTTTGAGTTTAATAGACCTGGGATTAGAGGACATCATCGATGGCTTGTCTGTTTTCAGAACATTAAAATAGCAGTTGTCTCCTCTTTAAGTTTATAGGTGGATTCGGTGAGAGAATACTAAAATCGTTTAGATCACAAGGTCTGTCACTGTGTCAAGTGACGTCTCGTGTTTTCTGCTACAGCTAAAGACCTGTATGCGAAAGCGAATTATTGAAATAAAACTGAACCATATGTTAGTTCCGAAATGACCTAGTTTATAATGTATACTAGCAGGATACCGGTCTTTGCCCAGGGTCCAAATTCATCAGGGGCCCAATTATTATTATTTAAAATTATAATGATTTATTGTTAAGAATTATTTATTTATTTTTTATTATTTATAATTATAATGATTAATTGTTTTGGGTTTGTTTTTTTTTTTATAAGTAATTTTTTTTATTGAGATTTGTATCTGAATAGGGATTGGGGAACAGACATAGCCTATATAAAACCCCTAATTGTAAAATTATTTTTTCTATTATTATTTCAGTTACGTGTATTTAAGTTGGCTCAATCCTGGCCAACGATGAGATTACTGATATCTATCATCGTCAATACATTCGGAGCTCTCGGAAATCTCACCGTTATTTTAGCTATTATTATTTATATTTTTGCCGTCAGTGGTTTACAGTTGTTTAACGATAAATATCAACCAGCCGTCTTTCATCCCGACCCTGTTCCAAGGTACGTTATATTTCTTTAATAAATGTGGATGGCCAAATGGTTAGCATGTGCGTGCTGTTTTATAAGGTCTGTCATAGAGTCAACTGGCGTGATTTTGATTCCCCAGTTGTACCTGGGTTTTCTCCAGGTCCTCCAGTTTCCTCCCACTGCTAAACGAATTATTGAAATAAAATTGAACCAAATGTTAGTCCCGAAATGACCTAGTTTGTGTCAAGTAGACGTTAAACCCCATTTCTCCCTCTCTCTTTATAAATGTGCAAACAGGGTGTAGGCTATTCCACTTATGACGCCCTCCCAATATCCTCCAGCCTCACGACTTGATAGAAGATAAGATTGTGTTTTAAACAAATTGAGCAAATCTGAGACCAGAGGTTCCTTAGATCTTGAGACCTTAGGCTTCAGCCTATCAAGTTATAGTTACATCTGACACTGAAGGCAGGGAACTTGATAGAATATTCACTAACTGAATTGTCCCTCTTATTCTGTTACTGGGGCTGACAGAACTGTAACAGGACTCAGTTCTGTTCACACCACACTTGTTACTGGGGCTGACAGAACTGTAACAGGACTCAGTTCTGTTCACACCACACTTGTTACTGGGACTAACAGAACTGTGACAGGACTCTGTGATTTCAGATAAATACTAAAATGATTTTTTATATTTTGCTGCAGGTGGAATTTTAATGATTTTTTTCACTCGTGTATGATGATATTCCGTGTTTTGTGCGGAGAATGGATCGAACCGTTGTGGGATTGTATGAAAGCAGAAGACGAACTTTGTATGTTGATATTTCTTCCAGCTCTGGTCTTTGGTAATTTTATGGTAAGAAATTAATTTGGTTAGATTTTTTTATGCTGATTCAAATGATATGAAAAAACAAAATTAGAAGTAAACATATTAAAGAACCTTATAGCAATTGAAATACAAAGAAGTTTACATAGAGGATAATCAATTTACAGTAGGTATTAATTTATAAAAACCAACCACGCCCAATCTTTGCTTGGAGTTAAAACATACAATTAAATAAAAAAATTGAAAATTGTAAATTCTTAAAGGGTTGTCAAATGGTTAACACTTGCTCATTGGATGATAAGGTCTGTTATTGAGTGAAGTGGCATGGTTTCGATTCCGTGCTTGTACGTGACAAGGAGTAGTGTCGCCTATCTAAGCCCGTGGGTTTTCTCTAGCTTCACAAGTTTCCTCCAACTAATAGAAACTCTTGTTATACCCAATCACAGTATCATAATAATGATGGACCATATGTTAGTCCCAAAATGACCCATTGGGCAAGTCACTTTATTCAAATCTAAAGGCTTTGTTAAGGAGATTTCATATTTGTCCAGTGACACAGCCAATCATAAGAGGTTTCTTATTGATTCTTGGGACAATTCTCAGTTACTATTTTGCTGTTTGTTACTCTGAAAATGACCAAAATAAAAAAGAAATTTTCATACATAGTTTATTTACGATTTCAGGTTCTGAATTTATTTTTGGCGTTGTTGCTGAACGCCTTCGCTACAGACAGTATGAACAAACACAAAGAATCGACCAAAGTGGAAGAATCAAGATTGAAATTAGCGTTTCTCCGAATCAAAAATCTGTGCTGTGCGTGTCTACCGAAGAGGAATATGGTGGAGCCAGGTGTTGATGAACGTGGAACAGACGGCACAGAGACTGTCCCAGAAGAAAAAGGTAAAACATAAGAAAAATAGAAAGTCTTGTCGCGTTATTTTAGCAATATATGAATCCCTTGCAAACTACCATATTGTGAGCGCTGGATCTCTAATATCAGTTCAACAATGATTCAGTTCTGTCCAGTATTTACAGAGATGTGATGAATTGAAATTTCATTGATCTATGGTGCTCGCTGTTAGCGAAAAATGGAAATAATGAATCGTTACTTTAAATGGCTATCCTGAATCATAATCTATATTTTATTGATGACCAGAAAGCAACTTTAATTATCTCTAAATAAAAACTCTTCTCTAATTTCCTCGCACACATAGATAATGCAACGCCATTTGATCTTCTGTTCTTCGTGAGGTCTATATAACTAAATAGACACTTGAATCATGTAAAAGATGTTTAGTTTAAAATTTCAAAAATTAAAAATTCGGAACTAAACTTTTTTTAACGGCACAATCAAGTACTTTTGACTTTTAAAGATTTTTTCCAGAAGAAATAAAATAGTGTTTAATGCCATACTTTTGAACAGCGCGACTAGGTACTTTTAGTTTTTGAATAAGTCTGTAGTCTGAAGAAACGAGGAGACAAATTTCATTTTAGCAGGTGTTCCCGAAGCAGAAATTAAAATTAGTGTGGCCTAGCCCTTAATAAAATTAACAAAATGTTTTCTATTTGTTCAGTATGATTAAAATACAGATCTATATTTCCTTTGGCGATCGTTTTTTTTCTATACTTTTGATGACCTCTACTACATGATGATCTGACCAGTTGTAGCGCAAGGTTACGTCAGACATTTGATTAACCAATCAGTGTTGATGTTTCTAGGGGGTTACCCACAGTTCTGTGCACTTCACGCTAAAAACACACAGTAACAGACCGTTTCATTGTCTAATCCCTCACATCATCCAGAATGTTGGCTATATAACAACTGTTCCAGATCCTAGCATAGGGAAGACAAGTAAAATGAAAGTTTGAACTATAAAAAACGAAACGAAATAGTATCTGTGTTTTAATCAAATTGCTATTGATACCCAAAATGTTATGATGATTAAAACATCTCTACTTTAAAGCGGAAATTGCAAATTTTTAAGTTATATTTTTAAAATTTATTAAAATGAAGCCTGAAAATAGATGGTATCCATAAACAGTCCTACCTTGTTAAAGAATAATCCTATTAATCCTATAATTCACTATTGCCAGCTGAGAAATTGGCAAAAATATCATTTTCCTCTTCATTTAAAAATGTTTGAATATCGCTACTCCATGGTGGAGAATAGAAAACAAGGGAGGTAATTGGGAGGTAATTGTGTTATTATTTCCTGTGTAAATGAATCTTAAGTGTGAGAATGACACCTATGATCGTATAATTGTGAGTTGACAACCTATTGAGCAAAAGACATAGAAATAATTACGTTTTGACTTTCTTAGAAAATTTGCAATTTCCGCTTTAACCTGTTGTTGCACGAGGAAATATCTATATTTTCTATTTACTCTGTAGAAAAATTGGATGATGGTGAAGAAATAAAACCTGTAATGAATGGTGACCTGGTAAAAGATGTGAAGAAAATATCTAATGGTGAAGTGAAATCTAACAATAACTCAAAGGTAAACAAATATTGAAGTGGCTCAGTGATTGAGGTGCTTGTAGATTTATCAGGAGGTCTCAGGGTTGATTCCAAAGTTGGTGGAGAAAGTAGATCATAGGGATTTGTCAGTGGGGTTTCCAGGGCCCCAATTCCTGGAAAATTCTCAAGCACGTTCTTGTGCTTAGATTTTAAGTAGACTTTGCATTTAAGTAAACTTACCTTATTTTGTGTTCCGGGAAAATTCTGAAGAACATTCTTGTGCTTAGATTTTAAGTAGACTTCAGGGTAAGCACAAGCACGTTCTTATGTGTCCCAAGAAAATACTTACGCACAACTTCGTTCTTAAACATTGTCAATCTAAGCACAATTCCCAAGCAAGGTATACGGCTTGTTCTTCTTCAAACAAGATGGCTGACCGTAGAGATATTCGACGACATTTCCCACATCTTTTGATACCAAAGAGACAAAACAGAGAAAATCCTTTAGAAACATATTCTCGAGAAGAAAGCTATAATTAGAAAATTTCGCTCCTTTTTGCTTACTTTAAGAATTTTTTAGGAACCGGTCCCAGAAGTGGGAACCGCGACTTGAGTCCAAATTAACGTCTCATCAGTGATCCGACTCGGCAGTCGTGATGGCTCACGACTTGAAACAGCTTAGGACTTGAGTCGCGATGAGGGGTCATAAAACTAACTTACCTTATTCGCCATAAATTACTAACTCATATGATGAACTAGCGACTTGAACAGGACTCGATTCAACTCGGTATTCAGCGACTTGGGACTCTACTCAGACTCGAGATTCTGTGACTTGTAAAAGGGTTGCATCATCTGGTTTTATTTCAAAAAATAATAACAATCTCATTAATTACCTCAGGTAGATATTTTCCGTCAGTTACAGGAAGAATAAATTTAGAGTGTAGCAACCCTTATAAATGTAACTGCCAATCATAAATGATACTGGATGATCATACATTCCTATAAATAACATGATACTGGATAATCAAACAT